TTACCAGTCTACACTTACTTCCCACCATTCAGCCGTGTGACACGGACAGATTGGCCGTATTGTATGAAAGAAGAGTCAGGACGACCATTCTTTTTTTTTTATGATTTTATTTATTTGAGCACTGGGTGTTATTCTATATGTTAGCAAATTTAACACCAATAAAAAATAAACTCATAAAAAATAAGTAATAAAAAATTTTATCTATATTTATTTATTCCTGAGAGACACAGGCAGAGGGAGAAACAGGCTCCATGCAGGGAGCCTGATGTGGGACTCGATCCCGGGACCCCAGGATCACGCCCTGGGCTGAAGGCAGGCGCTAAACCGCTGAGCCACCCAGTGATCCCGAGGATGACCATTCTGACTGGGGGACCTGGAGGGTGGAGCTGCCATGTGGAGATGAGGGCGATGGGGCGAGGCACAGGTCTGAGGGACTGAGCAGGAGCTACTACCCAGGGGGAGACGTCCGTAGTCGTGGGATTTACGCGTCTGGACATCAGAGGAGGAACGTGGGCCGCAGATAGAACTATGGGCATCATCAGCTTAGGGACAGAATTTAAAAGCGTGGAGATGAATGAGATCACCAGGATAAGTGTGGATAGAGAAGGGGGCCGAAGACTGAGCTTTGGCGCGACTTTAAGACAAAGAAGTCCAGGAAGGAGGAGGATCCGGTGAAGGTTGAGGAAGAGCAGGGTGTAAGGCAAGAGCAGAGCCAGCGGAGTGCCCTGGTAGCCAAGGATGAGAGAGCCTTGGAGGGGAGACAAGGCGGGGACTGGACACGGGCTACCGGGTGCGGCCTTGGAGGTCATTCTTTTGATGGAGTTGGCGGGGGGGGGGGGGGGAAGGCTCATCTGGGTGTGTTTCGTAGGGAATGGGAGGCTGGGAGGTGGAAGGGTCATGCACAGACGGTGTTTTGCTGCACAGAGAAAGAGGGGAAGTGGGAGCTGGAGGGGAAGCGGAGGCTGAGTCCACCTTTTCTTTTTAAGATTGGGGACATAATTGCACATTCGTGTGCTAGCCTGGAAAACACACGTGCGTACAGGGACGTGATGGAAGGGGCCTTTGGAAGATCTCAGCTGCTTAAAGACCCTTCGGGGACTCTGCAAGGTGCCCTAGGTTAGAGTCCATGAGGCTCGGCCTAGCGTACAAGGACCCAAACTCTCTGGCCGCAGGGTTTAACTCTCGATCCCTCTTCTCAGTCCTCCTCCCCCGTCTGCATCTACATACACGGTTCTCTCTGCCGGGGGTGCTCCTCAAGACCCGGATCAGGGGGCGCCTGGGTGGCTCAGTCGGTTGAGCATCTGCCTCTAGCTCAGGGCATGATCCTGGAGTCCCGGGATCAAGCCCCATGTTGGGCTCCCTGCCCCGTGGGGCGCCTGCTTCTCCCTCTGCCGCTCCCCTTCTTGTACGCTCTCTCGCTCACTCTCAAATAACTAAATAAAATCGTTAAAAAACCGCCACCAATGGAAACATCACCTCCTCTGTGTCTCTGGTTCCCGCATTCATCGGCCCCAATCTACACGGTAGCCTCGCATCGCGTTGTAATTTTTGTAATTACAAAATTTTGTAATTTTTTTGTCTTCCCTCAAAGCTGTGAGCTCGTTGGTGCCAGACCCCTTGTCTCCTCGTTTATCCGTGTGCCCGGCTGCCTGAACCCACCTCTCTTCCCTGGACGGTGTGTCACACAGAGGAGGAAATAAAAGTTGGGGACCTTGGGGACCAGTGATGTTTCTGTGCAGACTTTTACATAGACTCTTTATTGAGCTACAACATATGTGCAAGTGTGTGTGTGCGCGCAGGCCACGCGTGTACGGCTTTATGTGTTTTCAAAGCAAGCACAGCTGCGTCGATCACGGGTGCCTCCCCGGCGCCCCCGGGCTCCCGCTGCTCCCCTGCGGCTAATACTGAAGAGTAACTGGTCTCGCCTTCTAACACCACGGGCGAGTTTTGCCCAAGTTTGGACGTCGCGAAAATGGCAACACACAGTGGGTCCTCTCGTGTGTGCAGCTTCTCTCACTTGCATTGCATTTCTGTGCCCCCTTCCCTTTGTTGGTGTGCAGGGGCGTGTGCTCGCCGCCTTTGCTGTGGAGCGTCCCATTGTGTGAAGAGCCCCCAGTTGTTACCATCCCACTGTGGCTCGGCATTTAGTTTCTTTTTGGCTTCTGGCTCTTAGAAATAGCTCGGTGATGCCTCCTTGCACACACAGGTGTACACTTTGCTGCCGGATGTACGTCCAAGAGCCGGATGCTGGGTCATATATTTAACTGCTACATATATATATATATATGTATATATATATATATATATATATTTTATATTTTATTTATTTATTCATGAGAGAGAGAGAGAGAGAGGGGCAGAGACCCAGGCAGAGGGAGAAGCAGGCTCCCTGCAGGGAGCCCGATGTGGGACTCGATCCCAGGACTCCCGGATCATGCACTGGGCCGAAGGCAGGCGCCCAACTGCTGAGCCACCCTGGCGTCCCGTGCTACATATATTTTGATCTTGTTATTGTTACTCAACCAGTCCGGGAGCATCATTCTGGACCCTGACACCATGCGCTCCAAGTCTCTGAGCTCTAAGACTTCTGGGATGATCCGTCTGACCCCTTCACTTTCATAGTTGCGGCCTGACACCAGGGCTGGGGAAGCAACTTGTGCGAAGCCGCGCGGCCTGTGAGTGGGTAGGGGCTCCAGGACTCATTCCGGCTCACGTCGGCCAAATACCTCTTCGTATTCACACGAGGGGACCGTCCTCTCCGGCCTGGGAGTGATCACAGGCCGCTCCAGTTGGCCTAGTGAGCACTCTTGTTCACTAAGCCCGCACAGCTGCTGTGCACACTGAGGCACGTGCTCCGGGTGTCATGTGCCCACCTGATGTGTCACCTCTGGGCTTGCAGCTGTGCTTCACGGCGGCCGGTGCCAGCTGTGTGTTTCGGATGGGAGGAGCGTACCCTGCTCAAGGGTCCAGGGGTGACGGAGCTGGGTTCGACCTTGGCCTGTAACTGCTCGGCAGACGCAGGAGGGGCCCCTCATGCAGTTACCGAGGCTCCGGCTCAGGTCTGGCTCTGCTCGGGCCCTGAGCTCCTCCCAGGTATAGAGAGTCCATGTGACGCCATCGCAGGCCTTGTGACCGAAGGACGAAGGACGAAGGACGGCCACTCGACCTGGCGCCTGCAACGCACCTGAGCTCTGAGTGCGGCTGCTCACAGGCAGCCCCTGATGGAAGTCTCTATTGAGAAGTTGCAGGAGCAGAGAACACTTGCTCCCCAAGCTCCCCCCCCCCCCGCCAAACCCTGGGACGGGGACAGCTGATGTTCAGAAATGAATTGAGTCTGTTTCAGGGGAGCGAGGACAGGAGATTCACCCTGCTGAGAGTCGTTAGAGACGCGCACCTCCCGTTCCGGTCCTGTATCCCGGATGACACCTCAAAAAAAGGAAAATGATCATCATTAAGCCTCGTTAGGTGCCTACACTGTGATGTGACGAGTGACCTCCCAACCACATCTCATACGCACCTTACTCTCCCGCCTCTCTCTTCCTTCCTCTCTTTCTTTCTTTCTTTCTTTTCTTTCTTTCTTTCTTTCTTTCTTCTTTCTTTCTCTTACTTTCTTTCTTTCCCTCTGTCTTTCTTTCTCTTTCTTTTTTTCTTTCCCTTTGTCTTTCTCTCTCTTTCTCTTCTTTCTTTTTCTTTCTTTCTCTCTCTTTCCCTCTCTTTCTTTATCTTTCTTTCTTTCTCTTTCTCTTTCTTTCTTTCTCTTCCTTTTTCTCTCTTTCTCTTTTCTCTTTCTTTCTCTCTCTTTCTCTTTTTCTTTCTTTCTCTTTTCCTTCCTTCCCTTTCTTTCTTTCTTCTTTCTTTCTTTCTTTCTTTCTTTCTTTCTTTCTTTCTTTCTTTCTCTCTCTCTCTCTCTCTCTCTCTCTCTCTCTCTCTCTCTTCTTTCTTTCTTTCTTTCTTTCTTTCTTTCTTTCTTTCTTTCTTTCTTTCTTTCTTTCTTTTCTTTCTTTCTTTCTTTCTTTCTTTCTTCCCCTCCCTCCCTCCCTCCCTCCCTCCCTTCCTTCCTTCCTTCCTTCCTTCCTTCCTTCCTTCCTTCCTTCCTTCCTTCCTTCCTTCCTTCCTTCCTTCCTTCCTTCCATCTTCCTTTCTTATGCCCATTTTACAGATGAGCAATTGGATGCCTCAACAGATGTGACAACTTGCCCAGGGGCGCACAGTAGGTCAATGAGCTGGAGCTTCACCTGGGCCCCGCGCAGCAGCTATACCTGTTCTTGTTCGCTGCCGCGATGCACAGGTGTACAAGATGTGCTTGTTTACTGACTGATGCCTCCCCCTGATTAAGGTTTTTTTTTTTTTAAATCATTTATTTGGGAGTGTTCACAAGTGTATCACAACCGCCACAAGCTAACAAAGTGAATCCTGCGTTCTCGAGGACAATTGTCCCCTACCCTCCACCTTGGAAAGAGGAGGGAGTTTTTTCTTATTGAAATCTGATTAAGAGGCAGCCGGTGGCTCAGTGGTTTAGCGCCGCCTGCAGCCCGGGGCGTGATCCTGGGTCCCGGGATCGAGTCCCACGTCGGGCTCCCAGCACGGAGCCTGCTTCTCCCTCTGCCTGTGTCTCTGCCTCTCTCTCTCTCTCTCTCTCTCGCTGTGTCTCTCATGAATAAATAAAAAATAAAATCTTAAAAAAAAAGAAATCTGTTTAAATGATCTGCTTGAAAAAAAGAGATGGGTGGGAGGGGGAGAGAATCAGGAGAGTCTGGGTGTTGGAGGGCACTGGACATGGTATGACACGGCTGCAAGGTCTGCCTTAGCGTTGGCCTCCCTGCATCTTCTTTGACAGCCTCTCCTTTAGCGTCGTCTCTGCTATTGGGGTCGGTGTGTCTGTGGACTATTCCTTTTAGGATTTTTGAAAAAAACATTGGAAGGATTTGCACTATTTTGAAATTACTCATGCTGTTAGCTCTTTGCTCTTCATTTTTCCATTTTATTATAATTATTTTATAAAAAGGACACTTAAAATTTTAAATGTTTGTCTCCCTCACTTTACAGATGGAAACTCTATCACCAAGTGATCCACCTCAGCGGGAATACAAATTACCTGTTCGTTCCAGCCCCTTTGCACTTTGCATTAGCTAAAGAGCCCCTGGGAAATACACAGTGTTAGTAGGTGACTCTCTGGACCACATGCCGAAAAAGACAGCTGTTTTACTTAAGTTAGTTGAAAGGGAGATGTGAAGGACACCTAAAGGTCTGCTGGCTTATCTGTCTTCTTCTCGAACTCCCTCTGACTGAATGGTCTTGTGTACGCGTGGAGAGGGGAGAGAGAGAGAAACGAGAGAAGCAGGAGTGGGGGGGATGGAGAAACTTGGGTTGTACTTTCTAGTGTTTTTTTTTTTTTTAAGATTTTGTTTATTGATTACAGAGAGAGAGCGAGCACAGTGGGAGGAGCAGAGAGAGAATCTCAAGCAGACTCCATGCCAAGGGCAGAGCCCAATCCTGAGACCTTGAGATCACGACCCGAGCAGAAATCAAGAGTCGGACGCTTAACCGACTGAGCCACCAAGGCACCCCTCTCCTGGGGTTTTCTGTCTCAAGGTGAGCTGTCACAGCAGCCAAGAACGTCCAGTCTTTTAAAACTCCCTTTGATTCTTGCCAATACCAGAAATGTTAGAGGTAGGAAAATAAAAATCCATTGGTAGGAAAAATGCTGATTAAACCATTTTGCAAAGCCACATCCAAAGAGAATAAGCCTGGGAAAAAAAACACTAGATTTTTTGTCTCTTTTTTTTTTTGTTTTGGTTTGTTGTGATTTTTTGGATTGTTCTGTGCTTCTTTTTTTCCTCTAAAAATCTCACTTTACCACAAGGGACATGAATATCAAGCAACTTGGTAATGGCGTAACCTCAGATGCCAACTGAGAGCCAGGACACTACTTGGCTGTGTGACCGGGTGTGTGTTACTTAACCTGGCTGTATCTCGGTGTCCACGCGTGTCAAAGCTACTCGAACACTGCCAAGAACAATTCAGATTTGTGAGATGAATGTTGTCAGTGTTTGGTTTGTGTTTGGAGGGGACCAGCTGTCACAACATCTTGGATTATTGTCATCCCCGTGGCAATTCCGTACAAATTTTGCAACAGAGGTTTTCTTTTCTTTCTTTTTTTTTTTTTTAAGATTTTATTTATTTATGAGACACACAGAGAGAGGCAGAGACCCAGGCAGAGGGAGAAGCAGGCTTCATGCAGGGAGCCCGACGCGGGACTCGATCCCAGGACCCCGGGATGATGCCCTGAGCCGAAGGCAGACACTCAACCGCTGAGGCAGCCAGGCGTCCCTGCAACAAAGATTTTCAACTGCGAAGCTATTCTCTGTTTCCCCTAGTGTACCGTGGAGGTATTAGGAATTTCAGTAACTGCTCTGATTAAAATCTCAATGGCTATCACTTTCATAGGAATGTCTAAATATCTTCACTCCGTTCAACAAGGGATGGAGAACAACACCACTTTGGGATGTATTTTAATTTTCTTTTGTGTTCACGCTTTCTATACAAGCTACCTGGAGAAAATTAATTAAGCCGGGAGAGCTTTTATGAGCCTAATTAGATGGAACTCATCTTCAAATGCCTGAGGATCATCCAAGGAGGGGGCTGATCCTTTGAAGTATGAATTACGACAAGGCAGTAGCTGCGTTCGGTGGTTTGGTGGTTGCCCTCGAGTGTGCTCACAACCTGCGGCTGGGCCACGGGGCTGTGATCTTGTTCTGAAGCTTGTTCAATGTGCACCCATGCAAGAAAGGTGCCCTTGCGGTGACGACGAGGTGGCTTCACGGGACGTGAAAAGCTCATTGTCCATATGGTACGTTGCTCTGCACCGTGCAGACGTCTCGGGTAGGGGTCCTTCCAAGGAGACGCGTTAAGCAGGAACACCATGAGCATGTCAGGCTCCCGGATTCTGGCTCACTGAGAAGTCCCGACCACGGGCATCAGCCCCAGCCCCATAGGTGAGGTCCCTTGCACTCTGCTGGGCTTCTTGGACAGTAGTTGCGACAAGCAGTCAATGCACAATGCAGCCAATTCTTGACCAAGAGACTGATCCACGGGCACATGCAACATGTATGGGAAAGTGCCTATTTCAAGGGCCTCTGAATTGTTTTTTTTGGGGGGGAGCCTCCGAATTGTTTTTTTTTTGGGGGGGGCCTCCGAATTGTTCAGAGAAAACGACTTGTCCAGAGAGTGGCTGCAATCAGGTTCTTATCCCATCCTCTTGAACTACTCTATTTTCTCACTGTTGCACTTGAATGACGTTTAGGAAGAAAGTGCCCAGATAGGAGGCACGGGCTGGTACTGCGGAAGCGCAGCAGGAATAATTATTACTCTGTGTTCTGAGCATGAGAGGATTAGACATTCTAATTCTGGAGATCTAAGAATGGAAGTCAGAAGGAATGAAGTTTAAGTGGGGAAGGAATACATCCTATAGGGCAGAAAGCAGAGCCCAAGGCTCATGGGCCGAGACGTCCTCCTTTCTCCTCGAAACGGCATCAAGCGTTGTGAGTGGTCTATTTGAAAACCTTGCCTATGCTGGGCTGTCCGCCCGGAGACTATGCATTAGGCCCTGGCACAGGCTACGGGGAGCTCTTGCCACTTTCCGGCTGTTTCAAGAGGAAATAGGAAGTCACCAGTTTAAGTGATGGAACCAAAAATTCAGCTACAGGCTATGAAGTGTGCCCTTGGCTCTGGTTGTGGAAGTCACTGTCAAGCACAAGTGTTCGGACAGCACATGGGGCGGGGGGGCGGGTGCGTTTCATCAGGGGTTTTCATGGTCACCTCTTTGACCACCTGGCTGCTGCACCCAGTGTCTGTCTCGAGCTGGGACGCAGCCTCCCCAAGACCCACGCACTCGGAGGCTCAGCCCCAGGGGGGCCCGGAGAGACCAGATGGCCCGGAGCCCTTGATATTGCTCCAGGGACTCCGGATCCCAAACAGAAGGACACTTGCCTCAGGTCACAGCGCTGACGGGAAGGTGGTGGGGCCGAAGCGCAGATCTCCGATCTCTGGACAGCACTCCCACGCTCTTGCCGTTTTGCAGTGGGGCCTTCTAACCCCCCGGCTGCCTAGAAAATGAAATCCATTCACTTAATTCACATTCGTTTATTGCCAGGCTCCTGTTAGATACTGGGAGATGGGATATGAGGGCAAATGGAGGCTATCATGGGCCTGGAGACCTGATCTAGTCCGGGGTCAGGGGAGATGTGCCCAGAGAAAAGCAGGGCAGTGGAGGGAGACAGAGGGGAATGGTGCCGGATGGGGGTGGGGGCGGAAGGGTCCCAACAGAGGGAGTAGCTGGGCGAAGGCCCTGAGACGGCGAGGAGTTTGGCGCACTTGAGAGCTGAAGGAGAGCTGGTGTGGCGGGAGCGCAGGGTGCTGGGCCGGAGGGCAGGGTGCTGGGCTGGAGCTTAGGGTGCTGGGCCGGAGGGCAGGGTGCTGGGCCGGAGCTTAGGGTGCTGGGCTGGAGTGCAGGGTGCTGGGCTGGAGTGCAGGGTGCTGGGCCAGAGCTTAGGGAGCTGGGCCGGAGCGCAAGGTGCTGGGGAGGCCGCGTCCCAGCTCGAGGATCCACCTGCGGGAGTGCAGAAAGACTGCGGCCTCGATGAAGGGTGATGAAGGGCAGGGAGTAGGGATCTCCAGCAGGCATCGGCCAGGAGCAGATCTAATGAAAGATCAAACAGGATAAACTCAGAGAGGGAGACAAACCGTGAGAGACTCTTAACTCTAGGGAACGGCCTGAGGGTCGCTGAAGGGTGGGGGTGGGGGGTTGGGGTGTAACTGGGTGATGGGGACTGGGGAGAGCATGTGATGAGATGGCTCGGGGTGCTATGCGCTACCGATGGTCGCTATTTTCTGCCCTGGAATTAATAATATACTATATGTTGACTAACTTGAATTTAGATAAAACCAAATAATAATAATGTTAATAATGATGATGATAATAATAGTAATGATAATAGATCTGTCTGTCCACTGTGGATATGAGGCTTCCCAGGTTATTGGGCTTTGGAAGAGCCAACCAGCAGCTCAGGCCAGGGCAGGGGTGGGGTGCAGAGGAGCCTTCAGAGAATCTCGGGATGCCCCCTCTCTGTCCCTGCTGGCCTGACAGTCCCGCCCCCGCAGCTGGCGCAGCGGCCCGGCCCGGGGCGATGAGTCCGGGACCTTGGGAGCCATGACTGCATGGTGTGCAGAAGCTGCGCCTCCTGCCTCTGTTGCTCAAGGACGCCCCGCAGCCTCGACCCTCCTGCACCGTCACCACGTATGTCACCTGTGGCTCCCGAGGCTTTTCCAAAGACACTCCAGCCGGGAGGGGAGGGACAGACGGCTTGGCCTGCCATTAAGCCACTTGAGACGTGTCTGGTCTGACCGTGATTGCAAATCTTGAGGCAACCCGGTGGATGCAAGGTTACTTGTGGCGGGTGTTCCACCTCCGTGGACAGGACTCACGGACACGACTGGCATAGGGAAAAGGTCACGGTTCCTCCTGCTGCTGTCGTGGTGAAGGAGGATAGCGCCACCACCTTGGAGCAGCTCGGAACAGAAGTTGTTACTGCCCATTCCAGTCTTTAAGATAATTCTGCTTTTTCTATTTTTATTTATTTTTAAAGATCTTATTGATTTATTCCTGAGAGACACAGAGACACACAGAGAGAGAGAGGCAGAGACACGGGCAGAGGGAGATGCAGGCTCCGCGCAGGGAGCCCGACGCGGAACTCGATCCCGGGACCCCGCCCGGGGTCATGCCCTGGACCGAAGGCAGATGCCAAACTGCTGAGCCACCCGGGTGCCCCTAATATAATTTTCCTAATCAATTAGCAGGTGTTTATATGTGTTTCCTATAATAATATCAGAACTAGGAGTTATTGAGCCTCCAGTTATTGAGCCTGCCGGGACCGCTCTAAGCTCTTCATGTGCAACTATGGGCAACTTCACAGATGATGAGACCGACGTTCAGAGAGGTACCCCGGCCGCTAAGCCAGTGCTCCAACCCACCGCAGCCTGCTGGCTTTCTAGCACCTTTTCTGCATGCCCAGCAATTCGTGGGATGCTGTGGAGACAAATGCAACATCGGGCATTTTCCAAATAGTATTTATCCGACTTGGGAAGCTTGTAGCATTAGCAAGGCTGAGGTTTTCCTTGTGTCCTTTCCTGCTGCCTCTGATTTCCCCCATTGGCTCCAGCTGTCGCCGTCTCTTGCAACAGCCCCCATTGCTCCTTGGAACTCCCTACCTTTCCCCAACCCATCTCTCCCTGGGTTATACCCTTACACATGGGAGAGGGAGAGAGAGCGAGCGAGCGCCTCCGATCTCAGCCGGTGGGGTGTCGTGGCCTGAAGGGAAAGGGTGGGGAAGGCCCAGGCCTCATTGCAGGATGGGATGGCCCTGATGGCCCCGTTGGGTTGGCCTCAGGAGGGGGCACCCCTCCAGGTTTGGGCTGTGCTGTGCTCGGGAAACGAGGTAAATGGGGGAGGCAGGGGGACGTCCGCCCTGTCTGGTGCCCTCACAGGGTGCAGATTCCCTGCCCGGAGCACGGCCCTTGGTTGGACGCAAGGACACGGGTGGGGAAGGTGCAGGCCGTGCCTACAGCAATCCAGAGGGAGCGCGTGCAAAGTGGGCGTGCGTGTGCGTGTGCGGGGTGCTGCCCACGTCCTGCTCTAACCCAGAGCACCCACACTGAGCTGTCGCTCCAAGCCACTGGCATTGGCTCCGGGATGGGGTTCCCATGTTTTCTATTTGGCACAGCGATCACCTCAGTGCAGGGGGCCCACCCCTCAGCAGCGCGCCCGTCCACCTGCCACCACGGGAATACGGAGCCGGGCGGCTCTGGCTCTAGGGGCCTCTGTGCTCCAAGTGGCGAGAGGGGCAGGGGACCCGTGCGACGGAGTTGGGGGCTTCCAGGCGTTTCCTCCTCCAACTCCAGGATCCGCGGGTGAAGGGTGGAAGGGATGGGCAGATGGCAAACGGAATCCGACGGAGAGTCTGGGAATCCCAAGTGTCCCCTCCTGACTGTCCACGGGTCCTGCCGGCAGGGGGACGAGGCTGGTTCCCCGGTTGCTTCGATGCAGGCAGGGCCCTGCGGATGCCAGGTGGGACAGGCTTCTGGAGATGGGGCCCGGCTGTTCCCGGAAGGTGCCGCGTCCCCATCTCGTTCACCTCTGGGCTCCGCAGCTGCTACAGAGCCTGCCTGCACCGTGTTATGGCCTCCAAGGCCCGCGCCTTCCGGTCCCGTCCACTCCCCGGCGCTCCGGACCCTGCGCTCTCAGCGGTCTCCCTGTCCCCATGACGTGACCGGCCCGTTCCTACCTTGTACCCTCTGCAGCCTCGGCTTGGGACTCTTCCCCCAGATCTGTACACTGCCGGCCTCTTGTCGTCGTCAGGGTCCCAGCTGCAGCGTCGTTACCTTCCCGGCAGTCCCAGCCGGGGACCCCCTTCCTCCTCGCCCCAACGGCCTGGCCGCTCCCTATCCCGGGACTCTGTCCTGCTCTCCTGCCGCACCTGCCGTCCTGCCCCGTTCTATCGGAGGTTTATTCCGTCTCTCCCTCCGGACTACGCGCCTGATGCAAGCAGGGACGTGGCCCTTGCTCGCCGTTCCTTGCCCAGGGCCCACGTCGGGCTCAGGCTGCGTGGAAGGTACGTGCTTGATAAGCATTTGCCAAGTCAACTGATGAGTGAATCGCGAAATGAGAGAGCCAGCCAGCTGAACGGGCGGTGCTGGTGCAAACCAGGGGGGCCTGGGTGATGGGCAACACTTGGTTTGGGGACCTTGCACCCGACACGGGGGCCACGGTCCTGCAATAGCCCCCTGACCTCCTTGAGCCTCAGTTTTCTCATCATTAAAATGGGGACACCACCACCTTCCCCCCGTGCCTCCCCGCACTGAGGTGAAGAAGGGTGCGCGGCTCCTCCAAGGCCCGAAGCCCGCTCCTGCCGCTGTGCTCAGGGGGCCTGGGTCTCCAGCTGGAACGCAGGGCAGCCGCATGGCGTGGTCGCCTCCCTGGCGTTTTCCATCAGGCGGCCGCTGTTCCCCGAGCCCTATTAGATGCCCCGAGCTCCTGGGGCTGAGGTCTGCACAGGGGGCAGGGCCTGGCCCCTGATTTAATTGGAGTGCAGTTAGCGAGCCGCGGTGGCCGGCCCTTGATTAGTGGAAAGTCTAATGAGCTGAAATGGAGCAAAGCTGAAAAAAAAAATCCATTAACCGTAATGGTATTCGCACTTCTATTGTCAGCCGCACCGGTTGTTGGTTTAGGACCGGCTGCCTTTAATTCACCGTAGTCATTCTTTCTGTCGGGGAGAGAGAAAGAACCTGAATGTCATAAGAATGTATGTGCCAGCATTGCCGTGGAAGGGGACCCGTGGCCACGCTTGGCAGATGCTTTTCAGAACAAGCGATTCTCAGCATGTTAGAATTTCTACGAATTCTTTTTTTTCTCATTAATAAAACAAGATACGGATGTTTTTATTTTATTTATTTTTAAAATTTATTTATTTCTTATTGGTGTTCAATTTGCCAACATATGAATTTCTACTAATTCTCTTTTTTCTCATTAATAAAACAAGATACGGATGTTTTTATTTCATTTATTTATTTATTTTTTAAAATTTATTTTTTATTGGTGTTCAATTTGCCATCATACGAATTTCTACTAATTCTAAGAAAGAAGCAGCCCTTACTCTAGAGCAGTAAAGAAGACCTGGGAACTATGGTCGCCAAGACCCTTTGTTTTTTGTTTTGTTTTGTTTTGTTTTGTTTTTTTTGATCCTTCGTTTTTGGTCTAAGTGTTCCGCAAACACACCAGGAGCCTGAATCCTTTGGGAGCTGGAACTTGAACAGTCCAGAGGCGGGCAGAACAGGGCTCAGGCTTTCCGGCTGGGACGCGTACGGCATCTTCTGGGCGTGGGCAGGAGGCCGGGCTGCCTTGAGGAGGGTTTGCACCGAGCAGGAGCAGGTCTCCGGGAGCTGACGGCAGAGGCTTTGAGTGCCAAGGTGAGGAGCGTTGTGGTAGATTATATTTTTCAAAGTTTGCCGCCGCGGCAGCATGTCCTTCTGGCATGCTCTCCTTAAAATGTGACCTTGATACACATCCCGTGGGGCGGTGGGGTCCACATCCCCTCCCTCCAAGCCTGGACAAGGCTTTGCCGCTGCCTCGACGCCTGGAGTGTGCGGGATGGGAGGTCATGTACATTCTGAGGCTAGCTCATACAGATTCCATGCATTTCCATTTTTCTTTCTTGGGATACTTCCTCTTAGGGCCCAGTTACCATGCTCTGAAGACGCCCAAAGTATCCCGAGGTGAGGGACCACACAAAGGAGTACTTTTTAAAAAAATTTTATTTATTATTTATTTTTTTACACGAAGGAGCCATTTACAGGTGTTCCAGCAACCACCCAATGGAAGGCCCCACTGCTGGCCAGCCTCAGCCGTGACATCCAGGTGAAGACTCCCCTGGATCCTCTGGCCGCCCGCTGCCGAGTCACCCCCGTCTTCACGTCTTCCCAGGTCAGTCCCCAGAGATCATCCCCAGCAAGCATCTTTGCTCTTCCAGCCGTGATGTTAAGAGTTTTCTTGAATAAACGTGAGGCTGACCTCCCTCTCTACAGATGACGAGATCGGGGACTCAGCAAGACTGGTTGGTCCAAGGCCTGGGACAAGTAAGCGGCGCCTCCTGCACCCCCCCCATGCGCAGCACCCTCTAATCCCCCCTCGTATTTGTCTTGGCCCCGCCCCTGCCCTTCCCTGATAGCCGAGGAACCTGCTGGGGTCTCGATGTCTTGTTCAAAGTCTCTGGAGCAAGTAAGGGACACTCAGTGACGGATAACTCTTCTGCTGCCACCACCCTCCCAGGTGCCCTGGGGCCTCCAGGGACCTGGGCCATCTGGCTGAGCACCAATTAGCCTGGCGTCCTAGGTCCCACACGCCCGCAGCCCTGTCACAGCCCGTCCACACGACAAGCACGGAGCCTCGCCATTCTTGAAGGCCCATCCCGCTGGCCACCTCCGCCTGGTGTCCCCACCACTAACACCTGCTCTCCTCTTGGGCTCAGATACACTCTGTTCGTGACCCTACCCTAGTACTTTATACGAAGGTATTGGCACCGCCGTCCGTGGGGCCTCAGCCGGGCTGTGGCTAGGACACACGTCCCTCTTCATGTAGTTTCCCCACTTTAGCAATTTCAAATAAGTACATAATTCTATAATCTGAGCCAGAAATGTGCCTACAGTTTCCACCAATTGGTGGGAGGAAGCGTGTGTGCCCGAAGGGAGGGAAGCAAGGGGGGTGTGCGTGTGCGTGGGAGCGAGGAGGGTGCGGGGAGAGTGACTGGATGACCTTTAATTTCCCTCCCAGCCCCATGATGCTGGATTTTCTTCTGGAATGCTTCGTGGGACCCACCCGGGGAACAGGCTTCCTGCCAATACATCTGCACAGAGAGGTGACCATCGGGGCCAGGGCAGCCGGGAACGGCGCTGTTAGGATCTCCAGCTGCGTGAGGTCCAGGCTGTGTGCGGGCCCAGCCATGGCCAGGGGAGCCAGGTGGGCCCAGAGCGGCCTTCAGAGGCTAAGCATACCTGCACCGGACATCCGAAGGCGGGGGCCGACCCCAGCGTGGCCGCTCCCGGAGTCCCACCTGTGCTGTTGTTGGTCGGGGCTGCAGCCGGGCACGAACGAGTCACCCCCACCACCTTCTAGGAGTTTGCACATCACTTGAGAGCTTGTGTAACCTCTCTTGGCTCTACCTTCCTCGTCCGTAAGATTGAGCAAATGTGAAAACCTGCAGCACACGGGCGCAGGACCCCCCATGCATCCCGGCTGAGACCAGGTGCCCCCTGTCCCCTGCAGACACGGGCTCCGCACCTCCCCTTGTCCGTGCAGCCCAGCAGACCTTCCCGCCTTGGGAGCTCAGGAGCTCTTGGGGTCTTCACCACACCTGGCTGGCAACACCGAAAGGACTAAAAACAAGTGAGCTTCCAGAATGAAGGGATTCAGAAGAAGAAGAAGAAAAAAGATTCAAATGCAGAGTGTGATGGAGAGTTTGCAATGAAGGGAAAACATTTCTTATGAAATGTTTCTCTTCCGAGAAAGGGAGAGGAACGAGCAAGGATTCAATTCCGTTCTAAACTCTCCTTTCTTTTTTCCTCCAGAAGCCCCAATCTCTTGCAGCTCCTTCTGGGGTAGCTTGTCCCCAGCTCCCGGGATGGGCACTGGTCAGAGGGAGGTCTGGCGGTCGCATCGGAAGGGCCACAGGTTGGGGTCCCCATGCCGGAGACTCGCTCACCGGGGCTAAGTCTCCGTTGCTCGGGGCGGCAGGGCTCTTAGCCTCAGCTGTGCTGCGGGGGTCCCCCCGGACCCAGTCCCCTACCACTGCCCCGGGCCCTGCATCTCCTCAACACCTTTCTCCAGAACGCCGCCTCCCGGGGTCGCTCCGGCTGACCCTTTTGCACAAACGCTCCTTCCGGATGCCGTATGTACCCAACGCAATACAAGTCGGCCACCGAGAAACGAAGTCTTGCCACCTGCACCAACGTGGATGCAGCTGGAGGGTGTTGTGCTGCGCGAAAGAGGCAGTGGTCAGCCGTGGAATTCAGGAAGCAAAGCAGCATCGTAGGAGCAGGGAGGGAAAAACAAAACAGGGCAAATCGGAGAGGGAGACCACCCGTGGGAGGCTCTCGACTCGAGGACACAGGCTGAGGGTGGCTGCAGGGGGCGGGGGTGGAGGGAGGGGAAGGGATGGGTGACGGGGCGACGGGCGCAAGTGAGGGCGCCCCGTGTGCTGAGCGCCGGGGCTTATGTGCGACCCATGAGTCCCCGAGCTCTACCTCTGAAACTAATGACACGCTACACGTTAATGAATGGAATTTAAGGAAAATGAATGCAAAAAATGAAAATGCTTCTCCTTTTCTCTCAGCCAGCCCTCCCTTCCCGAGCGTCCCAAACACGGGGCCCAAGGGCATATGCGGGTGCTTCAGCCACGTCCCCTCACGCCCAGCGGCCCCTTTGCAGTGTTGAATCCCAGGCCCCCTCGAAACCCCGAAGGCCGGGCCCAGTGTCCTCTGAAGGCTCCCCCGGTGGTGGCTCGAATGTGCCTCCAAGGCCCAAACTTCCGCGTCGTATTCAGACGCCAGTGATCGCCTCCCTTTATACAAATAAACTCGTGGCCCTGCCAACGCCGTCCTTGCCGGCACCTCCCGGGCCTCCTGCTTTTTCTTTCTTTCTTTCTTTCTTTCTTTCTTTCTTTCTTTCTTTCTTTCTTTCTTTCTTTCTTCTTTCTTTCTTTCCTTTCTTTCTTTTTTAATTTTTATTTATTTATTTATTATTTTTTTTCTTTCTTTTCATTTGGAAATTTTGGACCTTTAGGCCCAGACGACTGAGTTAACGATATCCCTCAGTTCACGGACATTCCCCGACCTGGCCCCCGGGAGGCTTCTCTTTTTCATGGGTGAAAGGTGATTATTTCCATGCTCCAGTCCAAGACCCGCATTTTAATGCCTCTGGGTTAATCTTTTTATTTGAACGCTTTCTTGCAAAAAAGTGCGCTCTTTTGTACATATGAGCTCTCATCATATAAATGACGAATGGCTTGTTCTGTGCCGCCGGATGGTTTCTGCGCCACGCAGACCTTTTCACGTGGGTTACTGGCTTCCTGCCGGGCTCCTCCCTGAGCTCACGGTGCCCCTAGGAGGGCGGTGGGGCATCTCCCAGCAGTGGGGACGTGTCCTTCCAGGCTCAGAAAGCCTGTGGGGTCCGCCTTCTCCTTCTGTTCCTGTGCTGGGAGCCTGACGCGGCCGCAGGTGCAGCAGCGCCCCGTTTCCCCGATTTCAGGACTCGGCCCTGCCCTGGCACAGAGGCCCTGGAGCCTGGGTCTGTGTGGGGGCATCCGCCAAACAGCCGCCCACCCGCCGTGTCCCCTGGGTCCTGGCCTCACGACGGCCCCTCAGTGTCCTGAGCTCCCGGCCACTTGGGAAAATGAAGGAGCTCCCGGTTCTCGCAGGGCAGCGGCCACCAGCATGGCCGTGGGCACAGGTAGCGGGGCACCCGGTAGCTGGGCCACCACCAGTCGCCGGGCCGGGCCGGGGGCTCTCCTCGCAGTCCCTGGCACTGAGGGCCACCCGGCCACCCCTCCTGCCACTGCTGGCCGCCGTGTCACCCCGTCACCCCTGCGGGCCTTGCCGTCTAGCGGCCCCGGTTCTATGGCCAACGAAGCCAACCGTTGCACTGAGCTGGAGCGAACTGATTATCTTTGCTCTTTTTATGCAAATCAAACCCAAAATGTTTCTGTTTTCGTTCTGGTAGTGAGGCGTCTGGGCAGGTTAGGCCCGGCCTGGGGGACGCTGAGGCAGGAGCGACATCGGCGGCTCAGGGTGGCGGCCTGTGGGCCCGGGGTCCACACCACGTGCAGCAGCCCTTGCTCACGGGCTCGCGCTCGCCGTGACCCCCGGGGAAGGGCGGGGGCCCCGGGCACAGTCGAGCCGTCGGTGGCTGCGCAGAGCATGGCGTGCAGCCAAGGGCCCGGCCTGCGCTGTCCCGGGCCTGCGGAGGGTCAGCTACGTGACAGGACAAATCACTTCGATGTTTGTGCTTCAGCTTCTGACTCCAGGAAAGAGGGGGCGAGAGCAATAGCTCGAGAGGCTTGAAACAGTGACCTGACTTCTGGGCCCTCACCCTGTAAAAGTAATCCAAAATGCACAAAACAGCCTTATGCTCAAAAATGTTCGTGGCCTCATCATGTGGCTATGACATATCGTGCTTGAGAAGATATTTTAATAACCTGGGGAAATGCTTATAGTATGGTGCATAAAAACAGGAAGCAGTACCGTAAAACAGCATTTCAAAATCACGAGCATGATATCAACTGTGGAAAAAAGTGGTCAAAAAAGAAGCAAAGAAATTAAGATGAGTGGGGTTGCTCAGGTGGTGGGCTTACGGATAATTTCTTGTTTATTCTTTCCTGCGCTTCCCAAGATGATCACAATCTATATATTTGTGACTTTTGTGAACAGGAAAAGAAATCCTTAAATCTTTAAGCGTCAGAAATGAAGCATTTAAAACCTAGCCTGCTTTATAGTCTTTTTTTTTTTTAAGATTTTATTTATTTATTCATGAGAGATGCAGACAGAGAGAGAGAGGCAGAGACCCAGGCAGAGGGAGAAGCAGGCTCCATGCAGGGAGCCCGATGTGGGGCTTGAACCCAGCACCTGAGGTCATGCCCTGGGCCCCCCGGGGATCCCCTGCTTTGTAGTCTTCTAGGCATTTCCTTCAACATCTATTAGCAGATCTTGTAACAGCTCCAAGCATCAGGTATGGACTTGACTCTACTTACAGCTTAGGATGCTGGGGCAAAGGAGGTGGAGGGACTGTCCCGGGAGTGGAAGGGCCACAGGGGACTGAACTCCTGGCTTCAGTGACCACGTTCCTGCCGTCCATGTGCCCTGCCGCTCGGAGCCACAGTGGCAAGACCAACCCGGGGTGGGGTGGGGTGAACTGGTAGGCACCCGGATGCCTGTGCCTTGGTGGCACTGAGCGCTGGCACTGCAGGCAGAGAGGGAGGGAGGCTGGGGTTCTCGGCCCTGTTTCCCTCCAGCTAAGGCAGAGGAAGGGCAGACCCAGGGAGCACCACAGACGGGCTGCCTGGTGCCTGGATGACAATGGCCGGGGCCACAAGAAGAGGCTGGGGTCCGTGAGCTTGCAGGGGTGCAGGAGCTGAGCGGCGAGGGAGGTAGGGGGGGAGGGGAAGAGGATTACAGGCCCCGACACGGCTAGCAGTCTCCACGTTATGCAGTGGCTCACTGAGAGGTGTGGTACTGTTTTCTTTCTTTTTCTATTTATTTTATTTTATTTTATTTTATTTTATTTTATTTTATTTTATTTTATTTTATTTATTTTATTTTATTTTATTTATTTTATTTTATTTTATTAATTATTTATTTATTTTTATTTATTTTACTTTATTTATATTTATTTTATTTATATTTATTTATTATTTTATTATTTTATTTTATTCATTTAATTTATTTAATTTTATTTATTTATTTTTTTTTTGTGTGTGTGGCACTATTTTCTATTCTTGCAAGTTGCTTTAATGTTTAGCTGAAGAGTTGAAGCCAGAGTCTCATAGCCGCTCCTGCACCCAACCTGTTGCGCTATGCTGCTTGGTTGACAATTACGGGGAAAATCTGGTCTCATCCATATATGTGGCAGAAAAAAGGAAGGAGTCCTTTAATAGGTTTCTTAGATAATGCTGGGTGTTCTTTTATCATACAACATTTCAACTCAAGGAGTGGTGGTTTCTTAGTCTCCTTATAACGCGGGATCTGAAACCAGATAAATGAACTTTGTGTATTTTTTTTTAAAGAATTTGTTTTTTAAGGACCTTATTTATTTATTCATGACAGACACAGAGAGAAAGGGAGAGGCAGAGACACAGGCAGAGGGAGAAGCAACTCCCATGCAGGGAGCCCGATGTGGGACTCGATACTGGGACTCCAGGATCACGCCCTGGGCCGGAGGCAGGCGCTAAACCGCTGAGCCATCCAGGGATCCCCAACTTTGTGTATTTTTGTTTAAAGATTTATTTATTCATTTCAGAGAGAGAAAGAGAGCGCACGCGCACGAGCAGGAGGGGCAGAGGGAGAGGGAGACAGGACCTCAAGGGAGCTTGGAGCCCAACGCGGGGCTTGATCCCAGGAGCCTGAGATCATGACCAGAGACAAAACCAAGTCAGACGCTCAACCGCCCGGGCCCCCCAAACACCTTGCACTTTTTGCATTCTTACATTAAAATCGATCCCTTTATCCTGCGCTGTGAATGCATCTTTTCCTAACACCGTACCTCCGTCATTTGAAACATACTGGTTGGCGGAGTTATGTGCGTTCTTTAAATAGCGACATATCCCCTTACCCAATATTTGAAAATCCTGCTTGTTGGTGTCGCCACTGGAATATCTTGGCCAAGCCATCAAATACTGGAAAGCTACCTCTCTCTCTCTCTGTCTGTGTCTCTCATGAATAAATAAAATCTTTAAAAAATAATAAAATCTTGGGATCCCTGGGTGGCTCAGCGGTTTAGCGTCTGCCTTAGGCCCAGGGCGTGATTCTAGAACTCTGGGATCGAGTCCCACATCAGGCTCCCTGCAAGGAGCCTGCTTCTCCCTTTGCCTGTGTCTCTGCCTCTCTCTCTCTCTCTCTCTCTCTCTCATGAGTAAATAAATTAAAAAAAATTAAAAAAATAAATACATAAAAAATAATAAAATCTTAAAAAAAAAAAAAGAAACAAATGAGTTTCAATGTGTATGAAGGCAGTCAGGACCGTGTCTGGCTCATAAAGAGACACAGACCTCTGCACGACCCTTGCCACTCACAGAAGCATCCCGGGTAAGGTTTGGACTGGGCCCCAGATGGTCCCATTTTACAGGGAGACCCTGAGGTCCTGAGAGGAAAAGCCATTTGCCTACAGTCGCCCAGCCCGGGCCACAAGCTCAGTCTTTTGATTTCAGCTGCAAGTGCTTCTCCATGGTTTCCTGTTCCTGGTCTGGTCACGGTTTGAGTCCGTCCCCAGCCCCGAAGCCAGCGGGGCTGCCGCTGCCCATAACCCAGACTTTCCAGACACGTGAGACATTCGCCGCGGAGCAGCCCGAGGGCTGCTTCTTCGCTCCACGATCAAGGCTCTGCTTTCTGTCGGGAAAGCACA